ACAGGTGTGCCCGAGGTAACTTTGGGGTTCGTTGGGGTGACGTCTCAGTGAGGCATGGGGCCATCGGGCCTATACAGCACCAGATTTGCTGCCAGATCTGGTTCCACAGGGTCCCACAAAAGTCACAGATCACTGTGAGACCTACTGTCATCTGGGATAGGCCCACAAACCTCTGCGGTCTGCTCAAGCAATATTGTATCTTGTGCTGGCAGCAGTGATCTCTTTGCCATTTTCCCCGAAATTTGAGCACTGCAGTACCAAGGTCTGTTGCCTGAGCAGAATGTGTAACCCCGGCTAGGGGCAGGGCAGGGACAGCTGCCTGTCAATGGGCCACAGGCACTTTGTGGATTGGGTGGGGCACGATCTCAGAGAGACAAGGGTCATCAGGCCAATACAGCCTCAGTTTTGTTGCAACTTCTGTGCCCACGTGTTCTCGCAGTAGTCACAGGTCATAGTAAGACTAGCTGCCATCTGGGGAAGTCCCACAGACCTCTTTTATCCCCCTAAGCGATATTGCAGCTCTTGCAGGGAGCAGTGGTCTGCCCACAATTGCTTTCCCCGAAATGCATGCACTGTGTAGAATGTGTGGCCGCGGAAAGGGGCAGGGCGGGGATGGTTGCCTGTCAATGTGCCACAGTGGGCAGTTTGTGGGTTGGGTTGGGTGGAGTCTCAGGGAGACAAGGGCCATCAGGCCGGTACAGCCTCAGTCTTGCTGCAACTTCCGTGTCCACCTGCGCATTCCCACAAAAGTCACAGATCACAGCAAGACCAGCTACTGTCTAGGACTGGCCCACAGATCCCCACAATCCTCCCAAGCTCATCTTGGCAGTAGTGCTCTGCCTGAAACTGTCCCTGAAATGCATTCACAGCACTAGCTGAGGTCTGTTGCCTGCGCCGAATGTTTGGCCCTAGAAAGGGGCAGGGCAGGGGCAGCCACCCAGCCACAAGCCACCCCGACCAATCTGTGGGTTGGGTAGGGTGGGCTGATTTTCCCAGGCCAGCGCAACTTCGGAATTGCCTGTGCAGGCAGACAGTTCAATACAGGCAAACTACTGCTCATCTGTAGACTGCCCGTAGGTGGGCCCCAACTAAGGCACAATGGAAGCTGCCTGTCCGGCCCTCGTTCCCATGCCACTTAATGCAGTCTTTCCCTGTATGACTCCTGCCAGAGCCTCTGTCCCCCTGCTGGCGCCCAGGTTATATGTCCATTGGCGAGAGTCTGTGTACGGGCCCTTTAAAAGAGGCATCTGGGATTTCAGTCTCCTTCCATCTCACCCAGCCGTGTGTGATCTTTTGTTGTCGCCAAGCCTTTATTGGTATTAGTACCCCAGTGGATGGGATTAAAACTTGGACTGACTAACTGTGGGAATTGTCTATGCCCACAAAATATGAGTTGCTATGTGCAGGCTGACCCCACTGAGTAGGATCTGCCCTCGTAGGCTGTGTACTTGTTGAGACCACCTTTTGTGCGTACTGCTTATGGGGCTAGTCAGAGTTGCTCTGTTGTGGTCTAGTGCTAGTCTCCAAGTGTGTTGGTTCTGTGGCCCCTTGAGAGGGGCTCTCCAGTAGGCCAATGTCAGCCGCTGCCTTTGATTGTTTCTGGCTACCTGGTGAGAGCTACAAAGCAATTCATAAGTGGTTGCTGCCTATGCTGGATCTATAGGTAAGTGAATGAGACAGTGCTGTAGGCAGCAGTCCTGTTATACCCCATCCCTGACCTAAGGCAGTTCAGAAGAAGTACCAGTGCACCTCCAGGCATGAGGATGCCTGTCATTTGCCCTTAAGACTCTGCAACTGGAAGAGCCTCTGGGTGATTCACGGATTAGGTGGTGCAGGGACCCTGGGAGTCACCTTGATATATTGAGCAGATTTCCCCTTGCCACTGCAGCATCATTTTATATGCCAGCACTGTCTCTGTGCCACCCTCTAAGTCTCAGATCACAGCAAGGCCAGCCGCTGCCCACCTCGAGCCTATGAACACCCAAGGTCTGTTCAAGAATTACTGAAGCTCGTGGGCACTGGTTTGTGGCCCAACACTGAAAGTTTCTCTCAGATGCACAGGCTTTGCGTGGGCCACACAGTGCTGTTGTTTGCTGTTGAATTCATGTCCCAAGGAAAGAAAAGAATGAGACTGAGTTGCCTGGGAACAGGCTTGCCACAGGTAACTTGTGGGTTCGTTGGGGTGACGTCTCAGTGAGACATGGGGCCATCGGGCCTATACAGCACCAGATTTGCTGCCAGATCTGGGACCTCAGGGTCCCACAAGAGTCACAGATCACTGTGAGACCTACTGTCATCTGGGATAGGCCCACAAACCTCTGCGGTCTGCTCAAGCAATATTGTATCTTGTGCTTGCAGCAGTGATCTTCCCACCACCGTTTTCCCTGAAATTTGAGCACTGCAGTACTGAGCTCTGTTGCCTGAGCCAAATGTGTAACCCTGTCTAGGGGCAGGGCAGGGGCAGCTGCCTGTCAATAGGCCACAGGCACTTTGTGGATTGGGTGGGGCACGATCTCAGGGAGACAAGGGCCATCAGGCCAATACAGCCTCAGTTTTGTTGAAACTTCTGTGCCCGCATGTTCTTGCAGTACTCACAGGTCACAGTGAGACTAGCTGCCATCTGGGGCAGTCTCACAGACCCCTGTTATTTTCCCCAGCGATATTGCAGCTCTTGCAGGCAACAGTGGTCTGCCCGCAACTGATTTCCCCGAAATGCATGCACTGTGCTAGCCAAAGTCTTTTGCCTGTGCGCAGTGTGTGGGTGTGGAAAGGGGCAGGGCCGGGATGGTTGCC